TCCTTATGACATGGACCACACCTAATGTATCCAGACCATAGCAGGACAAGAAACGCAAAACCTGTCAGCATATCTCCACCACTCCCACAATCACCGCACCCCACAACAAAACCATCACCATTCCTGGATCTTACACCTGCACCTCCAGAAATGTAATACATCTCATCCAGTGCACCAAATGCCCTGATGGAAAACATGTAGGAGAAACCAAACAACAACCGTTCACCAGAATGAACGCACAGTGAAAATCTATCAAAAGACAAGAATATCCAATTTCTTGTGGGGGCACACATCTCACAATATAATTACTGCCTCTCCAATCTCTCGGTTCTAATCTTCAGAGGGAACTTTCAAAACATCTTTTGTAGATGATCCTATGGATTTTGCTTCATAAATCTACTGGATACAAAAATAATGGACTCAATAACTGGAACCAAGAGTTCTATTGTTTGTATGGACTCAATATAGATATTGTATTTGAGACATTACAAACCTGCCTGACATCTGATTCACCAAGTACCTGCCAGACCTGACCTTTCACACTTTTCTTTCCCCCTCCTTTCCTCCCCTCCCCTCCTTTTCTATCCTTTGTCTTCCTAAATTCCAGCTAATTTATTTTTCACAAACAGCCTCTTTTCCATCTTGGAAAACCACTACAGTAGAGTCTCCATTACTTACCGCTGGCTTTCTACTCCCCCCCTACCCCATTTCCCCCTCTACTTTTTGTTTTCCTGATTTCCACCTATTTACATTCTCTCACACATCCTGCCTCACTTTTAGCTTCTTTCATTCTTTGAGGTCTCAGAACAGCAGAGACTCCCTATGCCTGAAAGCTTGCAAAGAACATTTTTTTCCAACTACTCAGTTGGTCTAATAAAAGATATTAGATCTACCCAAAGAACCTTGCCTTCCCATGAACATCTTCACTTTGATCCAACAATTAGTATTTTCAGCTTAACACCTTTCTTTCCAGCATTAAATGATGGAAGTAACTAATGTTTTAGTGCTGATTAAAAAAAAAATCGCCAATCAATGACTCTTAAGCTTGAGAGCCATTATTTACCTCCAAAAGAAAAACACAAGTGGTGTGTGTTACACAAATACACCTCCAAACCAGAACTGGAAGAACTACTTCTAAGGACGAGAAGGCAGATCATGTATTATGCATTGTATCAGAGTAGCACCCAGACACTATGTAAGCATAAGTTCAATCTCTATGGCCTTAATGCTAAGCCTAAGAAGAAGATAGTCATTACTTATAGCTGGGGGGATGGGGAGTCTAATCTTATTAGTTGTTTAATTTTCATCATAAATATCCACCTACAATGTAAGAAATTGAGACCTCTACATTTATTTCTAAAATTCTAAGTCCATTATATAACAACCAATCCAAGCTAAGCCAATATTATAAACAAAAACAAAGTATAGCATGTTAAAACTCACCCTAAGCTATTCATTTGTTTTTGGTCCTTTTTTGTGAATTTATTTCTGAAGATAAAATAAAATGCTCTCTCAACTTAAAAGCCAAATGTTAATACTTTTTGCACCAGATATCCTAAAAGATTATATAAATTATTCATTTATGCAGTTTTTTTCAGAAAAGATAGCTTTAAGTTGAACAATCTACAATCTTCTTAAGTTAAATATTTCAAGTGCATTTAATGTTTTTCCTAACTGCTTATTTAAACAGGCTACTGATATACGTAAACGCCTAAGCCTATGCACCACCATTTTAAGCATAACATCCCAAGAATCTGTAAACTGACAAAAATTACTATCAATTTTTTCTATGTTTCTGGCATATTATTAAGGTACCTGTTATGTATTTGATAGTTAGCATGTGTCAATTTAAAAAAAAATCAGTAACTGAATATGATGAGTTAATGTATTCTGAACACAACGTGGATATTAGGATAAAATGTTTTAAAATCATGAAAAGCTGCTTTATGCAGTCAAGATTGGCCTATTACTTGATTCACAAAAACTAGAAGACTCTGGTCTTGTACAGACATTCGGTTTCTCCTAGGAACCTCACTGGTTTGCCAGAAGAACCCATAAATGTACAGATATTCAGGCTTTTTCTACACCCTACCCCCAGGAGAGAGTCTGTCACTCACTGGACTCTGCTGCTATGGCAGGGAGCAAAACATGCCCCCTTTGCAGTCCCCACATTGCACTGCAGTGAAACACAGGCTGACCATGGGCAATCCAGTTCAGCCAATCATGAGTACCCTAGGCACTGCTAACATCTGTTGCCAGGCAGAGTAAGGGAGCCTGCAGAGCATGTTAAGATGTGTGCACAGGGGCCCCTCTTGGCTACACAGTGTCAGTACCACAAGCTCTCCACTCCTCAAAGCCTCAGCATTCAAATGCCTATATGAACAGCTCTGGGAAAGTTTCTCTACCAGAACAAACCTGGGAGAATTTTCCCAAATCATATGAAAGTGTGTATGCAAATTATTTTTATCCTTCTGTAACAGGGTGGTCTTTGCCCTTAAGAAAGGGCAGCCATCCCTGTTAGTTATCAGCTGTGACGCATGCTGCTAATAAGGGAGAAACCAAAGGGAGAGGGCTTGAAGGGGCAAACTGTGAGGGAAGTCAGCTTTGAGCAGAACAGCTTGCTATAGCTTGGAGCCAGGCTGCTGTGCTTAGGGACAAAGCCAAAAGGGGGTCCCCCTTCTAGTGCCCAGGACAGGGCATAAGGATTTGGTTTTGTTTGCATATTTGTCTGTTTGTTAGTGGCTTAAATATTGTGCTTTAGTTGGAAGAAGTGGCTGAGGAGCTCTTCAGAGAGAAAACCTGCCTGCAGAAGCCAGCAGACTGAGCAACTTACTTGCATCTTCCTTTTAGAATTTTTGCTGAGAGCACAGGACAGATGAAGACATCAGTACCAATATAAACACAGGCCTAGATATCAGCATTTCCATTGCTTCTTTATAGCTAAGCATCAAGGCTGGATTCAGATTTTAACAGAGTTGAAAAGATCTCAAGTGAGTTATCTAGCCATGCATACATAAATGTACAATGTATTAGTAAGATGCTGGGAAGATGTACAAAAGAAATGCTAAGTGATTTTATGCAATCCAAACATTTTCTGTTACTGAAGAGGGTACTATATATTTCTAAACCTTTCAGTAAATTTTATTTACTATTCAGTAGTCAAATATGAAACCACATCTCCCAGGGAAAATTACCTTACTAGCCTATGCCCGAGATATTTATATGAAATATAAATGAAAAATATTTTCATATGGCAACTCATTGACTTCATATGAACTGCCATGGGCTTCAAAGGAAAAAAAATGACCCAATCAGTTCAATTATATTCTAGAGATGATACAAAAAAATCTTATAAGGAGTTTTAACTGTAACAGGAGAACATTCAGCTAATTACATTTTCCAAAAAGATTTCTGAATGAAATTTTAACAAACAGGATAATATCTCTTTTCTAAAACTACAACTGTCTCATAGCTGCCATCCCCCCTCATAGAATTTTGACCTGTTTGACCCATTTCAAATATTTTTATATTCTCTGTTCAGATTAAGTAACTACCCATCCCATTTACATCACTTAGGTCAAAGTTTGACATTTCTTACTTACTCTGCCTCTGACTTGTAAAGTTTTATAGTTGGTATCAGTGCAACCAGAGTTGTTCTGAACAAGATTAATAAGGTTACAGTTTTTTATTAAAGGTTACTTACCAATTTATATGCAGGCCTGTAAAGGTTTGCTTTTTTTAGTTGCACATTTGAGCCATGCAAAGGGTTATGTAGCAGAAAATGAACTTTATTTCTCTCCCAAAATCTAGTTATTCCACTAGCATTTATATAAATGAATGGTTGTATACTAAAAAGTGAGTACTTGCAGTGAATACTTACAGAATCTCTCTCAAAGCAGTTAAATAAAAGTGTTTAATTAAAAAGAGTGGTACCTATGCTTGGGGTGCTTCGTAACTAAGGAGCAAGTGGCAGAGATCAAGGGAAAAGGCAGTGGGGACAAGGCAGTAGCAAAGAAACAGGGTTTGCAGGCAGAGAGGAGCTTAGGACAGGTGTTGGAGATGGTGGTGAGCCAGAAGCAGGAGAGGGAGAAATAAGACAGAAGTTAGAGGGACAAGGAGCAGAGATTGGAGCAGGGCCAGAACTGAAGTAAAGCAAAACCCAACTCAGGGTTCCAAATAACAGTTTCATTAAATGAACACTGTATTTACAGCTTGGTTCCCACACACACACACACACACACACACAAAATGGTATCAGGAGAAAGGCTAAATGGAAGGGCTGGAGTCCAGGTAGAAAAGAGAAACAGAGTCCAAGTCCTCGGCTGAAGAGAGGGTGGGGGTGATAGCTACCTATCCAGGCTGGGATGTGGTCCTCAATGGCCAGTTGGGGTCTTTCTCCAGCAGATGTTGTCCAGAAGGTGGTTGCTTGCAGGGCCTCGGGGTTGATAGGCAGCGTGATGTAGAGCAGGTCTGGTCCAGGTGAAGATGGCAACCCAAGGAGTCAGTCTTCATTACCCTTTTTATGGGGCAGACTACCCATGATCTCCTATGGGGAGGGCATGTCCAGGCAATGTCAGCCCTCTTCCAGAGGGTTCCAGATGTTCATACTGAGCATTTGCAGCCTTGGCACAATGGTGGGTTGTCTCAACTTTTGTTTCTTGAATGCTGAGGGTGGTTCCAATGACTGGGTTGTTGGTCCAGGTATTGGTTTTGATGGTGGGGTGACTTGGTAGCAGGGGTCCTGCTATGATTGTTTTTCACTCATCCATTCACTCTTCTGTTTCAGACATTCAAGGAAAACAAATTTACATAGGAGGTTACAGAATTGCTATATACTTACACAACAGGGCATGGAGACAAGATGGGAATGGATACTTGACATCACTTTACAGACACAGGCCTAAACCATACAATATTAATATAAAACAATAAAAATCAATGCACAAATGATAAGAATACAATATTAAAAAGTAAAAATCAATACAAACAGAACAGAACACTATTACAATAATAGTATACAAGAACTTATCTTCTCTTACCTAGTACTACTTGTAATCACTTATAAGGGATAGAGAGGGCAGAGAGAAAGTCAGAAATGGTAGAGGAAAGGGAGGGAATAAAAAAAGAGAAACTGCGGGGTTTGCTACACTACAATTATGCCCTAATAAAAGTGCACAGTTGCAGAGCATTTTAAAATTGCCTAATCATGCAACAATCTGAGCCCTCATTACATGAGGATTGAGGTGAAGGCATTCCCAAATGGAGTACCTTCATTAATTTCTGTAAGTCCCTGCCAGGAGCAGGGCTAGGCTGATGCAGCTGAGTCCCAACCCCAGTGCTGTCTCCAGAATGGGTGGGGGAGAAGGGACGGAAGGGAGCTCAGGCTGGGATTTGCTCAGCCTGCACTGGAGGGTAGGATGGGTGCATTGGATGGTCTGCCCTCCCAGCTTTCTCCCACCCCAAGGTAGGGACCTCCAATCCACCCACCCCACCCTCCAGCACAGGCTGCGTAAACCACAGCCTCAGCTCCCTCCCCTCTCTTCTCCTCCCTCCCACCCTGAAGACAGCATCAGAGCTGGGAAGGGGGGACAGGGCCAAGGGAGAGAAGCTACAGACACGTAGCCACTCCAAACTGGAGCTCAATCCCCCAACCCCTCTGGATCCAACAGTGTACATCTGTTGGGTTGGGAAGGATTGCTATAATTCATGGCACTTCCTATGGAGCACCACAAATTACAGAGAGGAGTTGGATGTCTGTCAATGCCCAGATGGACTTTATACTTGCATCTATCTTGCATGCATTGCATACACCAAAATGGGATAAGATTGTTCTTTTGCATATTAAAAATGAAGGAAGGGAAATAGTGGAGGAGGGAGAGTGGGGCAACCTCCATAAAGTCAGTAGTATAAACTACTGGGTTAACAGAAACCTGGTGAGACCCTACCTATCTACTGTACAGATGAGATAGAGCGGGAGAAAAGGTGAGGCGGGGCATTGCTCTTTATGTTAAGGAGCAATACACATCTTCATTTTTCAAAACAGGATCAGAAGATGAGCAAATTGAGGTACTGTGGGTCAGAATACATGGGGTTGGGGTGAAAGGGACTTGACAGTGGGTGTCTATTACAGACTGCCACACCAGGGGGATGAGTTAGACCTGGAATTCGAGGCAGCTCTCAGGCGGTACACTTAGGGGACATGGTTTTCATGGGTGACCTAAACTACCCTAACATCTCTTGTGGGGGCAATCAGCTAGATGCGTCTGTTCATGTAGGTTCCTAACCAGCATACAGAACCTTCACCTAACACAGGAGGTACATGGTCCCACTAGGGGAAATGCCTTACTGGACTTGGTGCTTGCTACAGCAGATGACCTGGTGGCTGATTTGCAGATACAGGGTAACCCAAGGGATAGCGACCACCAATTGTTAGAATTCACTATCCAGCAAAAGGTGGGAAAGATAACTAGTAGGGCAGAAGTGCTAGACTTCAGAAAGGCAACTTCAATGAGCTCAGGAGATTAGTAAGTGAGGCACTGAAGGGCAAGAACATTGGTGAGATGACAGTCCAAGAAGTGTGGGTGTTCCTCAAGGGAATGATCTTTCAGGCACAAAAAGGGAACATCCCAATGCACATAAGGGGAGACAAAAGAGCCAAGAAACCCTCTTGGATGAACAGGGAAATCCAGGACAGCATAGGGGGGAAGAGAGGCATACAGAGTGTAGAAGCAGGGGGTAGCCACCCAGAAGGAGTATACCTGCTTGGCTTGCACTTGCAGGGAATTAGTTAGCAAGGCCAAAGCAGAAATGGAATTCAGGCTGGCAACAAAAATTGAAGACAACACAAAGCCCTTCTTTAGGTACATAGGGAACAAAAAGAAGGCACTTGGCAACATAGGAACCCTACAGGACAGACTAGTGCAACTGGTAACAGATAGGAGGGATAAAGCTGAGCTCCCATATGAGTTCTTTGCATCTGTATTCCTGAGCATGGATAAAAACACATCTCCCAAAGGGGCCAAAAACACACACAAGAGGGTCTCCAATCAACCAACAGTTAGTGCTGACTTAGTGAAGGGGCACTTGGAGGGGCTGGACATGTTTAAGTCATCAGGCCCCGATGATCTTCATCCAAGGGTGCTGAAGGGATTGGCCAGTATCATAGCAGAACCACTGGCATGGTTGTTTGAGCACTCACAGAGCTCAGGATGGGACCCAGAGGACTGGAAAAGGGCCAATGTGGTCCCTATTTTCAAGAAGGGGAAAAAAGGATGATCTGGGTAACTATTAAGGGTGTGCGAAGCTTCAGTCACTGAATCAATTCAGAGAAGATTCAGCCCAATTCAGTGACTGAATCATTGAATGCAAAATGAATCAGGAGTTCCATTAAAAGCTCCAAATCAATTTGAAGCATCCAAATCAATTTGGAAAAAATTCAGCAATTTGGAAGGCAGTCTTGTGGGGAAACAGGAACTGAGAAGAGGAAGGCAGGGGGAAGACTGCTCTGATATTGATATCTGTAGCTGGCCAGTGACTGTGATCTTTGCCTGAGTTCCCCTCCAGTCGTAGTGCTCTAGGGGAGGGACACAGAAACAGCATATAAGGCTCTGTGTGAAGCCATTCTCTGCCTTTTGTGAGTTGTCTGTCTGGAAGCAAAAGCGTGTGAAAGGATTGGATACACCTTACTAACTACCATTGCCCTCTACTTATCCCTATCCAATCCATTCCTTTCAACTTATTCTTCC